GACATTGTCCATTTCACAAACACTCAGCCTACAAAGAAACAGATGTGGCATCTGCTGCTGCCCCTCAGCTTGCCCCCAGAGACTTCCTTCATGGTTAAAGACCCTCTAATCCCTGGGCTCGCTCTTGTCACTGCTGCCTTCTTCTCCTAAAGCCTTCTTTCTCTTACTATTGTTATGGGGGACATCAGAGCTTGCCTGACTTCCTTCCTGTCCCTCTACTGCTGGATCCTTCCCTGTAGTTCCCACTTCACCCATTTTAAGACCCAGAAGGCTGTAGAGGAACTTGGGGTGCAGGGCTATTATTAGAGCCATTTCTTTTTTTTAACATAAGTTCATCAGTCATTTGTGATTATCAGTTTCCCTGAGCCTTAGTTTCCTCATCTGTAAAATGAGAATGAGATGTCTTCTGGGGTGGAATAGGTAAGATATCTCTCTCTCCTTTTTTTTGGCCCAGACTGGTGAGTTCATCAGTCTAGGGAGTGCCCAGTGGGGAGCCTCCTCTGCCAATGTAGCTGCTCTGTACTTTCTCTGCAAATTCATGTTTTAGAGAATTGTGACTTGCCCAGGATCATACAGCCAGTATGTGGCAGAGAGAGGACTTGAACCCAGGTCTTTCTGACTCAGAAGTCAGCTCTCTAATGACTGTTCCGCATTGTTTCTAAGAACTCCCACGGTAGTCAGAAGCGGTAAGGGACACTCAAGGTCTCTCTGTCCCAAATGTTCTAAGGGACTATTTGTGCCCGACCTGTGGTAAAGCCTTCCAAATCCTCATTGGATGGATCAACCACAACTGGACACACTGTACCCTGATATCGTGATGTCATTGTTCCCCTTCTAAAACAAAGCATGAACAACAGGAACAATATATAGGCAATTGTTTGTGTTTTTTTCTTACCTGTTTTATAAGGAGTGCTGTGAATACGCCCTTCTCCCCATGAACTTCATTTATGTATTAACTTTTTTTCTGCATTGTAGCCTTCTTCCACCCTTTCCCCTCCAAACCCCTTAATTCCAGGATTAGAAGACAACAATACTACTTAGAATTGTAGATTTATAGCTGAAAGGGAACTTAGACTTCATCTAGGCCAGTCTTCTCATTTTGAAGCTTACAAAACTAAGACCTTGAATCTTGTCCAAGGGGCTTGTCTGTAGTAGTAATAAATGGCAAAATCAATATTTGAATCCAGGTCCCTTGACTCTAAATGAAGCATTCTTTCCATTACACTAGAATATTTGTGGTATTAAAAAAGATAGCATGGTGTAATGGACAGAGCACTGTAATTGAAGTTGTAAGACTAGTCAACTATGGGCAAGGCTTTGAGCCTCATTTTACTCATCTTTAAATAGGGGATAATAATTCTTGCCCAGCCCACCTGACAGAATTTATGTGAAGATGTTTTGTGAAGTATAACATAATGAATGTACACTACTCTGTTATCAGAACCTATATGTTTCTTTTTTTTAAATCTGAATTTTGCATTTCATAATGTTCTCTGTCTCCTGTTTGGTCATAAATTCTTCTGTTCTCTGTAAATCTGACAGGTAAATTATTCCTTGCTCTCCCAGTTTGCTTATAGTATCAGCCTTTATAGCTAAATCATGAACCCATTTTGACTTTATTTTAGGGTGTGAGATTATGGTGTATGCCTAGTTTCTGCCATACTCTTTTCCAGTTTTCCCAGCAGTTTTTGTCTAACATTGAGTTCTTATTCCAGAAGCTGGGGTCTTTGAATTTATCAAATAGTAGATTACTATAGTCATTGACTACTGTGTCTTGCATACCAGAAGAATTCATGACCAAACAGGAGATAGAGAACATTACAAAATGCAAAATGGATAATCTTGATTACATTAAATTGAAAAGTTTTTGCACAAACAAAGCCAATGCAACCAAGATTAGAAGGAAAGTAGAAAATTGGGAAAGAATTTTTACAACCAATATCTCTGATAAGGGCCTCATTTCTAAAATATATAGAGAATTAAGTCAAATTTATAGGAATACAAGTCATTCTCCAATCGATAAATGGTCAAAGAATATGAACAGGCAGTTCTCAGATGAAGAAATTAAAACCATCTATAGTCATATGGAAAAATGCTCTAAATCACTATTGATTAGAGAAATGCAAATTGAAACAGTTCTGAGGTACCACATCACACCTATCAGATTGGCCAACATGACAAAACAGGAAAATGATAAATGTTGGAGAAGATGTGGGAAAATTGGAACACTAATGCATTGTTGGTGGAGTTGTGAAATGATCCAACCATTTTGGAGAGCAATTTGGAACTATGCCCAAAGGGCTATAAAAATGTGCATACCCTTTGACTCAGCAATAGCACTTCTAGATCTGTATCCCAAAGAGATCATACAAATGGGAAAAGGACCCACATGTACAAAAACATTTCTAGCAGCTCTTTTTGTGGTGGCAATGAATTGGAAATTGAGGGAATACCCATCAATTGGGGAATGGCTGAACAAGTTGTGGTATATGAACGTCATGGAATACTATTGTGCTATCAAAGATGATGAGCAGGCAGACTTCAGAAAAACCTGGCAAGACTTGTATGGACTGATGCTGAGTGAAGTGAGTAGAACCAGGAGAACACTGTACACAGTAACAGCCACGTTATGCAATGACTAACTTTGATAGACTTAGCTCTTCTCAGCAATGCAAGGATCTAAGACATCTCCAAAAGTCTCATGATGGAAAATGCTCTCCGCATCCAAAGAAAGAACTATGGAGGTTGAATGCAGATAGAAGTATACTATTTGCTATTTTTTTCTTCTGTTTTGTTTTGTTTCCTCTTTCTGATGGTTCCTCCTATTGGTTCTAATGCTTCCTTACAACTTAATGTGAAACTCTGTTTAATAGGAATGTATATGTATAGCCTGTATCAGACTATGAACCATCTTGGGGAGGAAGGGAGGGAGAAAATTTAAAACTTAAAAGTTTATGGAAGTGATTGTTGATAAATCAAAATAAATTAATAATAAAAAACTTCCTAAAGTTCAAAAGAAAGACATTACCCCCTTCAAAAAAAATCTGATTTAATTTTTTCAGTGAACAAAAATCTGTTTTCTCTCTTGCCTGTCTCCCCTTCCATCCCTCCCACCTCCACCTTGGAAAAACAAACAAAACCTTAAAACAATTTTCATAGCCAAGCAAGACAAATTCCTGCATTGGCAATCTCCACAAAAATATGTCTTAATCATGTAGTCATCACCTCTCTGTCAGGAGGTGGGTCACATGCTTTAGCTTTGGTTTTTTGGAACTGCGGTTGGTCATTGCATTGACCATAATTCTTAAGTCTTTTAAAGTTATTTGTTTTTACAATGTCTTTGCTATATTATAAATGGCTTTTCTGGTTCCATTCATTTCACTCTGCATCAGTTCATACAAGTATTCCCAAGTTTCTATGAAACTATCCACTTGTATAATTTCTTATAGCACAATAGTATTCTAATCAATCATTCAGTAAGTATTTATTTATTCCCACTGAATAGTGTTTTGTTTTTTTCTGATTACATGCAAAGATAGTTTTCAACATTCACTTTTACAAGATTTTCAGTCCCCAGTTTTTTTTCTCCCTCCCTCCTCTCTTCTCTCCCCAAGACTGGCATGCATCAATAAGTATTTATTAAGCCCCTGCTAAGTACCAGACATTTTGTTAAGTGTTGGGAATAAAAGGAGAGCAAAAGATAGCCCCTGCCCCGGAGGAACTCATAATCTAATTACACACACACACACACACACACACACACACACACACACACCACACACAACATCCACCACAAAATTAAACAGCTGGATTTCAGGTTGTGTTATTACTTAAATGAACTTCATAAACCACTGATTTGTTGCCATCCTCTGGGCAGTATTGGAGTAAACACATTTAAAATGTCCAGGCCTTTAAACCTCTCTGTTCCTTACATTCATCTTTTTTTGCTTCTCTCCTATGTCTCTCTCCATTTTATTTTAAAAATGAATGAATGATTAAGCAAATAAATTTGTTGAGTTGTTTCTCAATTGATAGGTATTCCCTTCATTTTCAGTTCTTTGTTACCACAAAAAGAGCTACCAGTAATAGTTTTTTTTAACATATTTGGTAACATTTTGGTATATTTTTAGTGTCTATATTAGTATTTTTGTACATATGGAAAACTTTATACTTCTCTTTGATCTCTTTGGGGGTATATTCCTAGTAGTAGTATCACTGGGTCAAAGAGTTTACATGGTTTTAGTAAATGGGGGATGTGTGTGGGGGTAGAGGGGTACGGTTACAAATTGCTTTTCAGAATGGCTGGACTGATTCACAGCTCCACCAAAAATGAATGAATGTACCTGTTTTCCTGCAGCCTGTCTAAAAATATGGAATGCTTCCTGAATTTATGCGTCATCTTTGTGCAGGAGCCCTGCTAATCTTCTCTGTATTGTTCCCATTTTAGTCTGTGTGTTGCTGAAGAGAGCAATCCACCTTTCTTTCTGAGACTGGACTGGAATGAGATGCTAATGGCAAACTCTACCACAGGCCTCATCCACCTGCTGTTCTGCAAAGCCTAGGAGCATATGTCCTTATCAGTCCCATGCACTGCACTGCAGACGCAGTGTGGATTGGGGGTGGTAGCGAAGTGGTGATGGGTGTTAGTTAATCAAACTATATTTTGTGGTGTGTATAGCATAAAGAGTAAATTTACAGGAAAAAAAAAGAAACAGCAGATAGGTTACCCTTAATTTCTGCCTTTCTTCATCTCTTTCCCAAAGATTCTAAAAACCCACTTGTTCTTTGTGAAATGTTCCAGGCAACAAGCCCAGTTCCTTGGGTATATTCATTCCATCATCTCTCCTGTAGCATCCCTCTAAGTGCCTCTAAACTGTGAGTCCCAGTAAGCAGAGTCGGTTATTCATTGCCAGAACTGTTTTTCACCCTGCAAATATGGATATCCATGCTGCTTTTGAATTTCCTGGTTTGTTTTTTGGCTTTGTTTTTGTTTTTTAAAGGTCCAGATTGCCGCCTTCCTTACATTGAAGATGCTGATATTGGTAATAAGACATACAAACATGGGGACAAGTTGATAATCAGCTGTCATGAAGGATTCAAGATTCGATATCCTGACTTGTACAACATGGTGTCAACATGTCGCAGCGATGGATCATGGGATAATCTGCCCATTTGTCAAGGTTTAGTACACAAAACAATTCATTTTATTGATCGTAGGTAGACCTTACTGCTATTTACAAGTTTCTACAGGAGTACAAGATATAGAGAGTGAAAATGAAGTCTTTAACTTCAGAAAGGTCCAGTTGTACCTTGGATATGATGACAAAAGCCTCTTTCCCCCAACTCCCAACAGTGACTGTCTGCTTTTTGCATTCCAGTTCTGCATGACAGCAAATTTTCATCTTAAAATATTTGGAAAAAAACTTAGTCCATGGTTGAAAATTTGCAAGTGAAACAACTTTCTCTTTAGCCTGTTAGGTGCCTTGTTCACTCTAAGAAATTGAACATCATTTAAAAATTAGGAAGCTTGTAACTGGGCTGTGAGTGTAATGATGAACTGTTGCATATTTAATGAAAATGTGAGAGTTTCTAAGAAAGTACTAGGGCGTATATACTTATTACAGTTGTGTGAGAATATATTCAAAACCAATTTTACAGAGGCTATCATTTTCCTAATAATGTTATCACCTTTTATAATGCATGAAGGGCTGGAAAATAATCAAATCCAAATTACATACAAACTCCATAGTGAATGTTTATCCTTTCCCAGTCCTTAAATTTGTAAATCCTAACATGCAGGGGCCCTATTCATGAAAACAAGCCCTTGAGTTCATATTAATTCTGATCTTACTTTTTGAAATGTGACTTGGGCTAAGAATCTAATGCATGATTCATGATGAGAGCAGGAGAAAGGTCTTATTTGCACCAAAAGCACCGGCATGTTAAAGTTGAGACGAATGCTAACTTTGTGCTTGGAAATCACGCTTGGCAGCGTCCCATATTATTACCTCGCACTCCCCATAGTTAAGAGTGTACCATTTCTCTGAGTAAGATTTTTAGAGCCATGACCCAACGAAGAAATTGAGCTGAATTAGAAGGACAGAAGGATCTCAGACTGCAAATTTCTATTCCTTTCTCTCTGGCAGCTTATGTATGTATGTATGTATGTATGTGTATGTGTGTATGCAGTACATGTATGTGTATGTATGCCTGTGTGTATATGTGCACATATATGTGGATATGTGTGTGCATATGCACACATTTGTATATAGATACACATATGTGCATTTTAAAGGGGTCACATCCTTTATTTTACATAAACAAGAATTGTTGACAAAATAAACAGACAGGGGACAGCTAGATGGGGGCAGTGGGTAAAAGCTTTGGCCTTGGAGTCGGAGGACCTGAGTTCAAATGTGGCCTCAGACACTTGATACTTACTAGTTGTGTGACCCTGGGCAAGTCACTTAACCCCAATTGCCTCACCAAAAACAAACAACAAAAAAAACCCAAACAAAACAAAACAAAAAATGAACAGCCAGATTTTAGGTTGGGTTATTACTCAAATTAACTTTATAAACCACTGATTTGTGTATCTGAGTGTTATTGTAGTTAAAGGCATGGAAAATGACCTTTAAACCTGGTTTTTTATTACATTCATCTTTTCTACTTATTTCCCAGGTTTTCCCCCATTTTTGGTCTCCTTTAATTTTATATGCATACATACACAAATGGATAAATGAACAAATAAATGAATGGATAGATAAATGGGTAGATGAACAAATGACTAGGTTAAACAAATACCTAAGTACACTTCTCTCTACCCAACACCATCTTTTTATAGGAAGGCTAAGCTTTTGAGTGTCTTGTTGGGGAGCGTGTGCTTGGGGTGGGAAAATGATTTTATGTACAATTCAGAGAAGCTCTAGACAGAAACTTTTAACTTTCAAGCACATTCGATTTTTTGAAGAGGTCCTATGTTGTCAGCCTTAAAGATTAAGACCTCCTTGTCCACAGAAAAGGGATATTTTATGCAGCAAGGAACACTTTCTCTCATCACCCTCTCCTATTTATTTAAGTCTGAGATCCAAGAAGACTTTGAATGCAACAGGAATAACCTGCTGTAGGCTGGTGAAAAATATTTGTTCAAGCACCATAAAAACAGAATAAACAAAATCTGATCCAATCCAACAGGCATTTATTAAGTCTTTGTCACATGCTTGGCCCTGGGGATAGAAATGCAAAAAGGAAAATAATCCCTGGAATAAAGCATAATAGAAACTGTTAAATGTATGCATGATGACTTGAGGAAGGAAGGAACAAAGGAACACAAAAATGACGGGTATCAGGAAAAGCTCCTGTGACCTGAGCAGAGCCTTGAAGGAAGTTAGGCATTGGAAGAAGTGGTGGGGAAGAGAGAATGTATGTTAGGCCTACAGATTGTCTTGTGCATCAGGAAGTAGAAAGAACAGAAAGTAGGCCACTTTGGTCAGATTATTGAATGTGTTATGGGGAATAATACGAAATAAGTGTAGAAAGATAACCTGGAGTCAGATTGTAAAGGACATTAATTGCCAAGTTAATGAGTTTTAATTTTTTGCTAGAGGCAATAGGGAACCACTAAGATTCTTGAGTAGGGGAATGGCACAATCAGACGTGTGCTTGGGGAAGACTATTTTGATAACAGTACGGAAGTTTTTTTGGAGAAGGAAAAAGACTGGAAACGGGGAGTCCAATTAAGATGCTGCTGAAATAGGCCAGGGGAAAAGTGATGAGGGACTAGGGTAGTGACCAGGTGAAGGGAGAGATGGGGATAAATGCTAGAAATATCATGGAGGTAGAATCAGCAAGACTTGTCAACTGATTGCATATGGAGGGTAAGAGAGAGAAAAATGTCTAGGGCAACTTACATACCTGGGTGCCTGGGAAAATGGTGATAGTCTCAACAGAAATATAGAGACAGAGTGAGTTTAGGAAGCAAGATTATCATTGTTTTGTTCACATTCAGTTTGAAATGCCTACAAAGCGTTCAGTTGGAGGTGTCCAAGAGACAGTTGGTTATATAGGTTTGAATATCACATACATGGAAATGATAACTAAACCCATGAGAGCTAATTAGATCAGTAGTAGTACTAGTAGCAGCAGCAGCAGCAGCAGTAGTAGTAGTGGTGGTGGTGGTAGTAGTTGCATAGTAGTACTAGTGGGGGGGTAGCAGTAGTAGTAGTTGTTGTAGTTGCAGTTGTAATAGTAGTAACAGTAGTAGCATTGTAGTAATAGTGACTAGCATTTATATAGGCCTTTGGGGTTTGCAAAGGACTTTAAATATGTTATCTCATTTGAACTTCAACAGCAACCCTGAGAAACAGGTGTTATTATTATGTCATCCCTATTTTTACTGATGAGGAAACGGGCTGGGAGAGGCTAAGGGACTTGCTCAAGGTCACACTGTTAGTATCTGGGGCAGGATTTGAACTCAAGTCTTCCTGATTCCAGGGCCAACTCTCTATCCACTCCTAGCTGCCCATTAAGGGAGGGGGGCAGAAGAGGGGAGAAACAGGGGAAAGAGAGAAAAAGAGAGAGAGGGAGACAGAGAGAGAGAGAGGGAGACAAAGAGAGAGAGAGAGAGAGAGAGAGAGAGAGAGAGAGAGAGAGAGAGAGAGAGAGAGAGAGAGAGAGAGTAAGAGAGAGAGAGAGACAGAGAGACAGAGAGGCTAAAGGTAAGGCAGAGCCTAGAGTTATACCCAAGGCTACAGGGCAGGATATGGATGCTGATCCAGCAAGGTAATTGAGGAGAAGCCAGAAAAATAGTAACACTAGGGAAGAATAATGTGGAAAAACTTAGGGAGGGGTTTCCATCAGGAGGGGATGGTCAGCACTGCAGAGAAGTCAAGAAGATAATAACTGGTAAAAGTACATTGGATTTAGAGATCATTGGTCATTCTGGAGTGCAGTTTTTTTTCATCTCCAGGGTTTATTATAGTGGCTGGCTCATAATGAGCATTTAAGAAGTATTTGTTGACTGACTGACAGTAGTTACGGTTGAGTGGTAAGGTCAGAAGCCATATTTCAACGGGTGAGTAAATGAGTTGGGAAGTCAAAGCTACTTACACTACTGCTTCCTCTCACATCTTTATGTAATTCTTGTCTCTACACTTCAGGAAGGACCCCCAATGGCAGCTCTGGTGAGGAACTGGGAAATAAAAGGGAAAATGTGAGAACAGGCAGGCTGTGACTTCTCCCAGCCCACAAGGGAAGCATGATTGATCCTTGGGGCAATATTTCACCCTGAAACTCTGATTTACACCTCTAGATGGAGGGGGCTGGGTGCTGAGGTGCTCTTTCTTTATTACCTGGAAGTTCAAATAGAAGTCACTTTGAGCTGAAAACTGTTTTCTTCTCTTTTATATTTGAGATGGTGACTTTCAAGAGAGAACATATCCTAGCCTTTTAGGTACATAAAGGCTGAGATTTACAAAAATGAAAACAGACTCTCATAGCCATTTTCCCACATGGCTGTGTTAGAGTAGAGAGTGTGTGTGTGTGTGTGTGTGTGTGTGTGTGTGTGTGTGTGTGTGTGTGACAGAGACAGACTCAGGTTTCTTCTGCTATTTTGAATGTGTTAATGTTCATTTGTAGGGAAGCTGAGCTCTAAATGTGTGTGATTTATACAGTGGTTCCAAAATGCAAATGACTGTCTTGGGGAGAGAAGGGTGAGGGGTGGGGCAATTATACATTGTTAATGGCGTAATTTACTGCCTGCTGATACCTCCCAGGACACCCACCGGATACTCATTGCTCTAAGGTATTCCATCTACACGTGTTAATTTTGTAATCTTTGATGGGGGTTTTCTCAGAGCACTAATTATATCCATTTCTGACTTTCTCTCCTCTCTTTCCCCATGAACATTGCCAGTTGATGGCCCAGCCATGTTATTCAGTACCACAGGGGCCAGTTTAGATGATGACTTTGATTCTGATCCTTCTCAAATAAAGCTATTCCTTAAAATCTGAGCACTGGCTTTGGAGAGGAGTTGATTATCCTGAGCTCCTCTGACACAAATCCATAGTCAACATATAGTTTGGCTTAAAAAGAAAAAAAGGGGGGGGATGTTTACTGAGCCATCTGTTGTAAACTCCCTTCCAGGTGCATATGATACTCAGCCATTCTGCACCTAAAGTC